ACATTATTCAAATGAGCACAAATGCACTGCAGCAACCCAGAACACCAGAAAAAGGAAACAGATCATGTATGCAACATCTTCCAACAAAATGGATACCCTTGCAATTTTATCAAAAAGTGCCTGACTGTGATGGAATGGAATTATGAAGGCCAGACTCAGGGAGAGAAGCATCCTCTTTCGTCTCCGGAAGGGAGGGAAAGAGATAAGAGGATGAGGCTGGCACCTCCCTGAGGAATTCACTCGGTGTTTACTGGCTGACCCTGGGAACTAGTTCCAGTCTGGGAAGATTCTTGATAAAGGTTGTAGCTAATAAACATTGCTGAACTGAATCTGCATGGTCTCCTGGAGTTCCTTGGGCTAGGCCTGACACTGACCACTCAATCCACTATAGCACAACCAACACAAGCTATGAAAAGGATAACACTGCCACACATCAGAACCATTTCAGAAACAACCAACAAACTCTTACAACCACATGGCATCACTGTAGCACACAAACCAACTAAAGCCCTCCGAAACATCTTAAGTAAACCAAAAGACCCAGTAGCCCAAGAAAAAAACCAGGGGTCATCTACAACATACAGTGTAAAGATTGTAACAGCCACTATGTAGGACAAATAAGCAGAAGACTAGAAGAGCGCATCCATGAACACCAAAAACTAGCAGTCAGAAGATATGATGAAAACTCTTTAATCTCACAACACATGGACAGACTTAGCAATAATTTCAACTGGGAAAGTCTCAGCATCTTAGATCAAGCTAAATCCAAAAATGTGAGGGAATTCCTGGAAGCTTAGTACTCAGACAAGTCAGCCATCGACAGGCACAAAGAGATAAACAACATTTACACTATTCAAAAGAGACAATAAAAAAGGAACAAAAAGATCAGAACACCTCCTTGCCAGCAGTCAACACTCAGATAAGCAGGGATTAACACCAAGATTAACACCGGACAAACAATCTAGCAGTAAACAATACCCTAATCAAGGAACTAACAAAGAAAAAACAACTCCCCCATCAACACTGACAGGGCAAGCTACTGTATATAAACAGACAGCAAACCCCACTCCCTTCTATGACTGAAGACGTTACCTAGACAGATAATGAAATGTCTGCAAGAAAACAACCAAGCTCAGAGAGCCCAAGGACTCCACAGTTCAACCCTGAGCTACATATATTCTCTTCTATTGATATACAACCATTCCAAATTTCTAACCAAACACTTCTTACCAGTGTGTTCTCTCCACTTGAACTGTTCCAGAGTCTCATGCGATCATCTGTTCCAGCTGTCAAAAGGTGAAGCCCATCACTGGTAAAACACAAGCCATTGACTCTTCCATTATGGGCAGTATTTACTGTCAGGAAAATATGCACAATTTGGAATTCAATACAACCTGGTATTGCAAAAATAATTGTTATATCATGATGATGTTGTGTTTTGAAATTTTAAAAATTATACAAAAATGTCTTGTAATGTAACCATGTTTACTGTGGAAAAGTTAAGCATTGCACTTAAGGATTTACTGGTAATATTACTGGAATAATATCTACATCAAGGCACCAACATAATTTTTCTTCTCTTTTTGAAAGAAAAAGAGGACAAAGGATCAAATGGAAAAAAAAAGACATACTATATTAAATATCTGACTAAGCAATTTATGGTTAAATCGCATCCAACTATTTTTAATTTCATTTGTTTTATTATAGAAGGCTGTTGTCCAAATTTTTATCATCGAAGTATTATCTTATTTTTCTTCTGCTAATATGTACCACTTTCAGCGGCTACTCTTTAGCTAGATCTGTGCATAGTTCCTAAAAGGAGTTCCACTTGTGTGCACATGCAATTATAATGGAGTAATGGGTGGCCCCGGTCATTGACATTTGCATTAATGATGTCTCACTTGGCTAGTTATAGCATGTGACAAGTGGCGTCATGGAATGCAAGGGGTGGAAGGCACTTTGAAGATCATCTGTTTCAGCTTCCTACCCAAGGTAATACTTCTACATGTGACCTTGACTACAGCAAAACTAAGGGCAGTTTATTGTTTCCTTGCTAATTAACAACACCATTATGCTTGACTACTTTTTTTAAAAGTAAAAGGCTGCCATACCATCTTAATTTGATAGGAGTAATTTATATATTTTATTGGCATATTTACTAGCATGCCACACTACAGAAAAGGAAAAAAAGCACAAGGACATTTCCATACTATTTCCCAATTAAAATTAATCGGTTAGACTAGGGAGAGCTGCTTGCATCCTAGGAAAGACATGAAGATGAACAGGATTCTAATAATCCTAGATTACTGTCGCAGATAAGGAATAGATACATGGCCTTAAACCAGCCTTTTCAAATTCCAAAAGTTTCAATGTGGGAGATTTCAACACAGCATTAATTTCAACAAACTGAAATTGAGAGCCAGTTTGGTGTAGTGGTTAAGGTGCTGGCCTAGAAACCAGGAGACTGTTGTGGGGAAAACAGGAGGCAGGAAAATTAGGTATGTTCACCGCCTTGTATTATATATAAAAAAGGTGGGATAAATATGTAATAGTAATAATAATAAAAAATTATTGTCTGAATCATTCAAAATTACTAGCAAACATAATTACACTTTTAATATAACTAGGAAAACATTTTTTCTGGTGAGAGCTGCATTTTCTTGAGGAAATATATTGGTGTCATATGCTAGCAATGGGCGAGACAAAAGCTAGTATTTTAAAAAAGGTCACAAAAGATTTCATATAGCATTTAGTACTGACCATATCATCTATCCTGGGCTATATAATAAGTGTTCCCTTTTAATATGAGCCTGTATCTGTAGTATTGATATATGAAATATATTACTTGTTTCAGAAGCTGCTTTTGACTTCTCCCCATTATGTTGGTCAAGAGTAATTAGACAGGCAGATGCTCTCCTTACATCCCACAATTTCACTCTACTATCAGCACTAAAAGAAAAACAAAACTGGGTATTGATTTATGAGCAATAGAAATGAACTTTCAATACGTTGTACACCTTCATATTGACTTATTGCCCTATTTTGTTTGTTAACTTGAATATATTTAAATGCTCTTTTATAAACGCAGAGAACGACCTCTGACAGATTCTTTTGCAGCCACATTCTAATTTCTTCCATCTCTCCCCAAATTATTCTGCAAACAAGCTCTAAAGCACTCTCTCCAAAACCACTGCCACCTATTTTAAACCCTTATGGAAATCAGCAGGAATCAGTTACTGTGAAAGATAAGACTTGTCTTTTTAACGTCTGAAAGAGGGAAGTGAGGCATTGGTAAGAGGCTATAGGCCATACTGACAGTGTTCACGGGTTGGATTTGACCTTTGTGTGTATTATAAAAGTGTCTCATGTATTCATTCACTCTGGCCTTAGCCCACAAGGTACTTACAAAATAGCTATAAAAAGGAAATTATTAAAACCATCAGATTGCATCCATCAAATTCACATTAAAACAAGTAAGAAAGATTATTCCTTTTTTTTAAAACCTGGTACCTCAAAACTATCAGGTTAGGTGTGAGGAAAGTTTTAATTTACTTCAGGACTTTTAACACATTCCTAATGTTACTTTGCTTTTTCTGGAGTCACACAGGTTAAATCAATCTCTACTTAAACATTATAAACTAGCTTTTTATCTAGTCTCAATATAAACTAACTATATGAAAAAAAAACTCAAGAACTGTATTGTGTGTAAAATGAGCTGATTTTTTTTTTCCTAGAAGAATTCTAATGGGACATTTATTACCCTTTTGATCACACATTGGTTATTTTTATTTAATGAATATACATTGCTGATATAGGTATCAAAAAAGCTAAGTTTGAAAAGAATAGAGACTATTAAAATATTCATTCAGCAATAACATATTAAATATTCCAATCAAACTTAGCTTATTTTTCATTCCAATGACAACATTTACATTCATGGTTTAAAAGCAATTATCTGCATTCTAACTTAGGAGAAAAATGCTGCCAACATGGGCATTTAAGGACAGAGGTGAGGGACATGGTGACACATGCATGAAGTGATCATTACATAAATGCCATGGCTTATGAACTTGCATCAGGTGATTTATGGCAAGTATGTAATCAAGGCACTTGCATGATTATGTCATTGTGTAAATTGTACAAGAGATCATTTTTACATCGTTGCACTTTGTATAGATGCCACTGTCAAAGAAATGCAGAATAAGATTTTTTTTAAAAAAAAACTGGTTGATTTTAATAAACACTGCTTTACTTTATTGGTTTCTTTTACCTTCCAGTTGCTAATATAAATTCATAACGGGGTGACCAAGATACTGCTAGAACTTCTTGTGTATGACCTAAAAATACAAAAGCATAATACTTTCGATTTATTAATCAAGACTGTTTTCCATTATTCTCCTGTTACATACATTACTCTGCAAATTCTTGTATAGACTTTAATAGTATATTATCTTTAAAAGAAAGCAGTAACATCCTGAATTTGCATTTTTGTAACAAAATGCAATCTTTGTGAATTGCAATGCTCATGCCAATAACTAACAGAAATAACTCTTCAATTGTAAATTAATGTTACAAATTAATTACATAAACACTAATTCTTTCTGATAGAGCTCTAGCCTCAAATATTACATCAGATTATTTATAAGAATAACTAGTTTTCTGAAGGAACTGTTCAGAATCATAGAATAAGCAGAGTGCAGCATCACGTTATTGTATAGATTTATAAGACAAATAATTCTGGTGATGGAGGAAAAATAGAATTTGTGGTAAAATTTACAGATACAGCAGAATTAAAATGTAGAATTCTAAGACATTAGAAGGAATTATGCCATTACAGGCTGCAGATGCAACAATTTTAAATATTAACAGGATCTTATTAGATTTGCATCCAAAATGGCATTCCTTATTTATACCCTGAAACAACACAGGTAAATTATACAAACTCAAGATTCTAAATCTCTTGCACAGTGCATTAGGTTTGAATTCTTGCTAGCTACTTAGCTGTCAGTTTCCACACCACAGATTCTGAGCTGATACCAGGAAGATATCTGGTCAGTAAATAGTAACTTTAAAATTTTTGGCAATGGTGAATGGGAACAAATCAGGGCAAAGGGCAGAAAGAATGAAATAGGAATGTACCCAGCTAGAGAAATAACTTCTCTGCTCATTACATGTTCTCTGGAATAAAAACACTGGTTCATGGCTTACCTGAATTAGTTTACAATTAAAACTGTAATTTTGATTTATCAGCTATAATCTACAGCACTCAGGCAAATATAGCCTGGATAGTTTCTCAGCTTGCTTAGAAAACCTTCAGGTTTACATCCGAATGATATAAAACTCAAGGAGTCCAGCTTAAGTAGATGTCAGCATTTTTTATAATTATCAATAATATATCTTCAGGCCAACAAGGTCAGAAAAATGTAAGGAAGAAACACTTTTCACTGTGTTGCTTTGACAACTGGCACTAAACATGTCTGTCCTATTACTTGCAAAGAATATATTGTTCAGTGCAGTTCTTTACACAGTGTGGTATACTCAAAGTAGTTATTATCTAACATTTATGTTTCAGACTAAGAAATACCCTGCAGAATGTGAGAACAAGATCCAGACTTGAAGTCACAAAGCTGTACTTTGGGGCTTTTGGTACCAACTGTAACAGAAAAAGACGAAAACACATTACAGAAGACAGACACAAGCTCTGCATGTTGAACTACTACTATAAAAGATGTACACAGAATAAATGGTAGCTTTAATATCTTTATAATATATCTGAAACCTTCACACAGATTCATCAGAGAATTTACTTTTCTGATAATTACACTTTGTGTTACCATACAGCGTATTTTTTGTAACTAACTAGAAGAAGAAAAAAGATATTATACTTTTTCTTTTATAAAAACAGAATAGGCATAATACAATAAAGGAAACATTTGTATGTGTAGAGAATGAAACTTTATATAGATCACTCTATACCAGTGTTTCTGTGATGGAATGGAATTATGAAGGCCAGGCTCAGGGAGAAAAACATTTTCTTTCATCTCCTGAGGAGCGTGG